CAATCAATCAATCAATCAATCAATCAATCAATCAATCAATCAATCAATCAATCAACTAACCAACCAACCAACCAATCAATATACTTTATTAATAATGTTCCGGCGTCCCATACAACAAAATTAATATTTCAGTACAATCCACCCAAGATCATACATACAGACCCATAGACACAGAGGATCAGTTTGTTATCTCTTTAAACAGCAGATATTACTCTGATTACTCTGACCTGTGACCTCTGACCTGTACAGTTTTAGGTCCATCGAAGCTCAATCACTGATCAAATGAGAAAGCTTGACGAGCTTTATGATGATCCACCGACTCTGAGCCTGTTGGAAAATAACCAGAAACAAACGATGACGGCGGCCTCCCAGTTTAGAACAGAACGATGAGATGAGAAAATAAATATGCTGGCGTTTCAGACCAGTTATGAATAGACGAGTACAGAAATACTGTACACCCTCAAAATGGCTTCTTCTCTTTTTGAGCAGACTAAATTTAATTTAATTTCCTTTTTCTTTATTCGTTTATAAAGGATCCTTTTTTATTTTGGTATAATGTATAATCAAGTTAATTAGTTTTCCTTGTTATTAAAATTTATTTAATGCACAATAGAAAGTTCAAACTGAATAAATATAATTTACTCCAACAAAAGACAGATTATCACGTGTTAAAAACTTTACACATACTGCATGAGAATGTTTGCATATGTTAATTTAAAATAATCAACTTAACTTAAATATTAAGTTAAGTTAAACTAACATTTGATTCTTTTATTCACTTTTAATGCATCTGGTTTTACTGGCAGAGGCGGTTGGAGGATTTACAACCCGGAAGAGTTCCTTCAAGATGGAGAAAAAAGGGTTGGATTCTGAGCTCAGCCGCTCGTTGGCGCCCTCTAGTGGTGAAGTCTGCTCACTGCATCAGAGAAACGAGAGGAGAGGAATAAGGATTTGAGTGTTGGCGGAGGGCTCGTGCAGCGGCCACAGCTGGAAGCACGAGTCCTTTCTGGGGACACAGTTTAGAAACAAACCGCCCAACGAATCAGAAATGACCTCATGTGGCCTATTGGGAATCTACAATATTTCCACTCTCTGGTGATGTTTTGGACAAAATATGCGGAAATGGTGAAATATTTTACTAAAGACACTATATATACGATATTACAAAAATAAAAGACTAATTTATTGGATAAATTATCCAGAAAAACGTAACCCCTTTAACCCAGTTAACCCAGTGTTTGTACGAAAGCCACATTAAAAAAAATCTGCTGATACGAAGGATGTTGTTGTTGTTGTTGTTGTTATTATGATCATTCTAAAAATAATAATCGTTGAAGTGAAATCGAAAATGTTATATACATTTTAAACATTTTTATTTAATTGAAAAAACGTGTTTTGCGTTTAAAAACAATTGTTTTTCTAAAGAAAAAAAAAAGAAAACGTTCTTGCACTGGGACTATTTAATTCATTCTATATTTTTAGGCCTAAAAGTTATTTGTTTTGATTATTTCCCACCCATTCTTGAAGGAACACGCACTGTGCTTTCTTATAAATAGTCTTTATTACAATGAATTATTTTACGAATTCCTTATTCGTTTATTCTATTTTCTATCCGGCCTGTGTTTTAATTTCAGGGATACAGGCCCAAAAAGAGGCCTAAACAGTCTATTCACTCTAATTCACACTTGTGTGAACTTCAGAATGAAAACACAATCAAACACACACATTTTCTTTGTAAAAAGCACAGAAAAAGATGTGGTAAAATTACAGTAAACAAGTTACAAGAAATACTAAATGAGAGGAGTCAAATGTCAAATATAAAGTCCCTGGAAATCTCCACTCTGACGTGTGAACGTGCTCTTCTGTTTGGGCCGGTCTCGCGCTCTGAGTGGCGCGCGTGGGGTCCGTCCGTGCGTAATTGTAGGCCTCCTCCTAATTACCGTGGAGCCTCAGGCCCCTCCCGCCGCGGGCCCATTGGACCCTCCCACCCCCCCTGGACCCCCACCCCCCCCGCGTCCCTGGCATAAAAGCGTCCAGGTCCACAGTTGGCATGGCACAGATCAGACCCAGAAACGGATCCTACATTCCCCTCCCAAAAGCCTCCAGACTTTTTTGCGTAAAGATCCAGGTTTTGGGGTTTTTTTTTTTTTTTTTATCGTCTAAAAACTTTGGTTGGAGTTTTTTTTTTCCCCCCTCTTCCGTGGGTTTGAGCCATCATGGAGCTGTCGGATATTTCCTTCCCCATCCCGGCCGCCGACGACTTCTACGACGACCCGTGCTTCAACACCTCCGACATGCACTTCTTCGAGGACCTGGACCCGCGCTTGGTCCAGCACGCGGGCCTCCTCAAGCCGGACGACTCCTCCTCCTCCTCTCCCTCTTCCTCCCCTTCCTCCACCTCCTCCCCGTCCCCGGCCTCTCTCCTCCACCTCCACCACCACCACCATCACAACCACCATCACCACAACCACCACAACCACCACAACCACCGCAACCACCACGGTCCAGAAGACGACGACGACGATGACGAGCACGAGCACGTGCGCGCGCCCAGCGGCCACCACCAGGCCGGCCGCTGCCTGCTCTGGGCCTGCAAGGCCTGCAAGCGCAAGACCACCAACGCGGACCGGCGCAAGGCGGCCACGCTGCGCGAGCGCAGGCGGCTGTCGAAGGTCAACGACGCCTTCGAGACCCTGAAGAGGTGCACCACGGCCAACCCCAACCAGCGGCTGCCCAAGGTGGAGATCCTGCGCAACGCCATCAGCTACATCGAGTCCCTGCAGGCGCTTTTGCGCGGCGGCGGTGGAGGTGGAGGCGGTCAGGAGGACGCTTTCTACCCGGTCCTGGAGCACTACAGCGGGGACTCGGACGCCTCCAGCCCCCGGTCCAACTACTCGGACGGCATGGTGAGTCCCCGAGGCCCCGCAGGTGCGTTTTTACTGCGTGGATAAAAGCGTTTTTACTGCGTGGATAAAAGCGTGGATAAAAGCGTTTTTACGCGTGGATAAAAGCGTTTTTACGCGTGGATAAAAGCGTTTTAATAAAAGCGTTTTTACGCGCGGATAAAAGCGTTTTTACTGCGTCGATAAAAGCGTTTTTATGCGTGGATAAAAGCGTTTTTACGCGTGGATAAAAGCGTTTTTAAGCGTGGATAAAAGCGTTTTTACGCGTGGATAAAAAGCGCTTTTACGCGTGGATAAAAAGCGTTTTTACGCGTGGATAAAAGCGTATCTACGCGTAATGTTATAGTCGTTATTTTCATTTTTTAAGGAGGGAGGAAGGCTGTCAAACCAAGAGTTTATTTTCAAAATAGTTCACAGACTCCTTTTTGGAATCCGTATTTAATTCTAGATGACTTAAATGGAGCAAACTTCCTCTTTTAGAACTTAATTTCGAATAATTTCAGTAAAGTTGTAATCAGTGGGATTTATTTCCTTAAAAATAACAGCAGCATATTGATCAAATGTTCTCCTTTGCTTTTAAAAGATGGTTTATCTTTATTTTTGTCAAAAAGGGAATTATTTGCTTTTTAAAAACGTTTTTTTCCCAATTGTTTATTCTCTTATTTTTAACAGTGTTTTTATTAACTGAGCGTCAGTTTGGACGTTTATCAGCAAAATTGTAGTTTTAAAAGTCTTTATTTCGTTGCATGGATAGAACGAGGAATTATTGATGTATCGGTTTAATGGTATAAATCAATATTTAATTGGTTTAACACGAAATAACGTAATTCAGATAACATTTTAGTTCAATTCGGTTGTGTCAAATTGGACAAATTCGTTCTCTTTTTGTACGATATAAAACACGACTTTCTGATTCAAATAGTTAAACCCATCGTTTAGAACAAAATTGATTTTTTTAAAAACAATAAATCCGTGATGCAGCAGTTTCTTAGAAGTTTATTTAAAATAATGTGTTTCTCTCCATATCCTCGTTTCCAGTCTGTCGACATATTTTTTTTTCTAAATGAAATAAATAAATGTGTGGTAATATGTGATTTATTTTCCTCTCAGACGGATTTTAACGGTCCCAGCTGTCAGTCCAACAGAAAAGGAGGTTATGAAAGCAGCTCTTATTTCTCCGAGAGTCACAAGGGTAAGAGGCATCGAACACTTTTTTATTTATTTTATTTTTACGTGAAAGGAAATCCACATATTAAATCGGCCAATAGAATGAATTATTAAGTCGAGTTTTAATGGGGCATTTTAAACTGGCCTCTTTTAGTTTTTAAAAGAGCAACAAAGATTCTGTTTAATAGGAAAAAACAAAAAATTTTAGATAAAAAAATTGGGTGAAACAGAATAAATTAGATCAAGACTTTCACTTTTTTAAATCGGCCAATAAAATGAATTAAGTCGAGTTTCAATGGGGCATTTTAAAATGGCCTCTTTTAGTTTTTAAAACAGCAACAAAGATCCTGTTTGATAGTAAAAAACAAAAAAACGTTTGATAAAAAAATTGGGTGAAACAGAATGAATTAGATCAAGACTTTAACTTTTTTAAAACTTTTTTTTAAACTGGCCCTTTTTTAGTTTTTAAAAGAGCAACAAAGATCCTGTTTAATAGGAAAAAAACAACAATTTTTAGATTAAATATCGAGTGAAACAGAATAAATTAGATGAAGACTTTCACTTTTTAAAAAAACATTAATGCTAAATCAGTATAAGGCCTGAAGAGTGTCAGTCCGTGGTTCAAATTCCAGCTTCTGGCTCCAGGATATAAAGTTCCTCACCGTTTTTATATGTGTGTTTTTATGTGTGTGTTTTTATATGTGTGTTTT